CCTCGCTGGACACTGCTGCTCCTTTCCCCTAGGTCTGCCCCGTCAGGCACAGGCTCTGCTTAATGTTACAGCTACGGGCAGGCAACTGCTTGTAACCAAACCCCAGTCATCGCCTAACGAAAGTTTGTTCGACCCAGTAAAAGTTTGGGTGATTCGTAGTAACTTGAGAGAGGTGAATGATTTTCTGCCCTTTTTACAGTGATTACACGTGCTGGAAACTTGTTCTGGCACTAGTCAAATGTAGAGTTACTTTAAGAGAAAACGTGCTTGTCCCCATATGGGCAACTGCTTGTAACCAAACCCCAGTCATCGCCTAACGAAAGTTTGTTCGACCCAGTAAAAGTTTGGGTGATTCGTAGTAACTTGAGAGAGGTGAATGATTTTCTGCCCTTTTTACAGTGATTACACGTGCTGGAAACTTGTTCTGGCACTAGTCAAATGTAGAGTTACTTTAAGAGAAAACGTGCTTGTCCCCATATGCAGATAGTTAAGCTGCTGCAGGTCTCATTAAACTTATTCTTATAACGAGCTATCAATAGCTGATGCACAAACAAGGTAAGGAGATGTTCCAGGTAAATTATTATGACAAGGTTCTAAACTCTCTTTACTTCAGTGTAAGTTTTTGAAGTGCACTAAACAAGTGTTGGGTGTGGTTGTTTTTTTTTTTGTAAATTTAGATTTATGGGGTGTGGCTTAATAGTTGAGAAGGGAAATGTACAATTCTCTGTGGGAAATATAAATAGTTACATTTTTCCTATTGGGGTTTTCTGTATCTGTTTAAACTAATAGTAAGGCTTCTTTTTCTTTTTAAGGTCTGGAATTTGAATTCATTTATAATATGCCTTTTAAGAAAAAAATTCACATTTAGGCCTTGATCCTATACATTTCTCCATTCAGGCAGATGCTTACAAGTGTGTGGAACCTCATTTAAATCACTGGGGGGGGGGTCTGTGCAGGTACGCACATAGGCCTTATTGCAGTGCTTTATGGCCTGTTTAGACAAGCCCTTACTGGAGCCCCAAAGACTAGACTTACTCATGTGCTTAAATGTATGTATTATGAGTAGTTCTATTAAAGTCTATGGAGTACTGTATTTAGCATAAAACATGGATATACATCACTGCAGAATCAGAATGTGAAACTTAGGACTCAAACTGTTAAATTAAAAAAGTTGCCTCGAAAATCTGTGCAAGTTTTAAATTATGTAAATATTTTACTTTTTTGTGGTGTTGCTGTTGTGTTTCAGATTGAAGAAAAAATAACCCCAGAACCCAAGATTAAAAAGCTGGAACCTGTACTTTTGCCAGGTAAACGTTAATCAAGTATTTGACAGAGGTTTCTGTGGTAATATTTGTATGATTATAGCATTCATGTAACTTTTTCTCTACTGTTTGATCAATAGTAAATAACTTTTATTCTACCCTTAATATAGTAAGTAACGGAGTGCAGTTTGTAACTCTAAGAAAATCTGACTTGTCTGTGAGAGGGTTTGTAATTTTGTTTAGTTACCTATGTTTAGTTTCAAGAGAGATTTGTTCTGTTACAGTTTTGTAAAATTTCATGCCTTGATATTTAGTTGTCTGCAACCCGTAATTACTGTAATTTGATAGTTTGTGACACAGTGTTTAGGGATTTCTCTCTGGATCACCAGATGTAAGCTCTGATTTTAAAGTTGGATCCATGGAGGCAGACCTTTGCACCTGTGGTTAGCCCTTCCTGTGTGAACTCACTTGCAGCTCTTGGTTAAAGCTTTCATTCCTTTTCCCTTATTGAATACCTAGTAGCTGATTCTAAGCTTTCTGAAGCTATGAAATAGCATTATGCATTAGTATTTCAGACTATTTCAAGTGAATGTAATGTAAGGAAGGAGTTTATTATTCTTCATAATCAGTAGTTTACATCAGAATCCAAAATGTCTGACTGCTTTTAAGAAAATAAAAAACCTTATTTAGCTGTATTACCTCAGACATTAAAAATTCTATCTGCCTAATGAACTATAGATACTACTTGAATCACAAATATTCCTTACTTATTGTTCTATTTAGTAAGGTGATCAATTGTAAACATTGTTTTGTTTTTCATGGGAATATTTTGCTGGAACAGATCTTGGAAGATATATGTAAATACAGATAAGACCTAAAGTATCACTTATTTTAGTGGAACATTGTTATAGAATAATTTGATAAACTAGATTTATTCAAGTCAACAGAGAGCTTTGAAATTCATCCTGTACTGTACTGAAGAAATTAGCTGAAGCAATCTTGGAGCCATTAGTATGCTTGAAGTGAAGATGGTAAATATAGTATCTATCTTTAAGAAGGGAAACAAGAAGGACCTAGAGAACTGTAAAGTGGTTGGCCTGACTTCAATACCTGGAAAGATCTTAGAGCAAATTATTAAACAGTCAATTTGCAAGGACCTGGAGGATAATGGGATTATAAGGAACAGTCAGCATGGATTTATTTTAAAAAAATCACACTAAAGCAATTTAATTTCCTTCTTTGATAGGGCTAGCGGATCGTGCAGAAGCAATAGAAGTATATATTTTGATTTTTAGTAAGTTCTGCTTGATCTCATAAGCAAATGAGGAAAATTTGATCTAGATTAAATTTATTATAAGGTGGATGCAAAACTGATTGAAAGATTATACTCAGCAAGGTTTACTGCCAAATGGAGAGGGTATATCTAGAGGGGTCCCAAAGTAAGCAGTGCTGAATTCAGTACAAGTCAATATTTCCATTAATTAATTGGATAATGGAGTAGTGAATGTCCTTAAATCTTTAGATGACACTAGGCTGGGAGGAGTTGCAAGCAATTTTGGAGGACAGATTTATAATTCAAAATAATGTGGGCAAATTTGGAGAATTGGTCTGAATTCAACAAAATGAAATTCAGTACTGAGTAGTATTTTATTTCAGAAGGAAAGATCAAATGTATAATTACAAAATGAGGAATTACTGTCTAGGTGGTAGTACTTCTGAAAAGGATCTATGGGCTATGGTGGACCACAAACTGAATGAGTCATCAACATGATTTAGCTGCAGAAACAACTATGGTGTATTAACATAAGTGCTGCATGTAAGATGCAGGCAATAATTGTCCCACTCTCTCTGGCATTAGTCAGACCTCAGCTGGAGGACTGTGTCCAATTCTGATACCACAGTTTAGGAAAGATGGAGAGAATACAGAGGAGAGCCACAAAAATGATAAAAGGCTTTCTAAACCTTTGGGGATAGGTTACAAAAACCTGTGGAGAGATGCCTTTCCCCCAGACCAGGGAGAGGTGCTCTTCCCTGGCCTGACCCCACATGAGCTGCCATGGGGGGAGAAGAGCCCCTCCCCTTAGCCCAGGAGAGTACTCTCTCCCTGCTGTAGCACTGAGGCAGCCTGTACCCCAAATCCCTCATCTCTGTTCACACCTCAGTGCCTGCATCCAACTAGAGCCCTCAATCCTCTCCCCTAGCCTTGAGCCTCTTCCTGACCCCATTCCGGATCTCGCACCTCCAGCCAGAGTCCTTTCCAAACCCTCTACCCCAGCCTTGAGTCCCTCATCCCTGGCCCCACCCCAAAGCCTGCACCCCCAGCTCTCACCCTAAGCCTCTGCCCCAGCCCTAAGCCCCCTCCCACACTACAAAATCCTCAGCCCCAATTCGCCACATGAATTTTGTGATGTGCACCCACGTGGGTGCACATGTCACTCATCACTTCCAGAGTGGTACACATAACAAAATTAATTCCACTCATGGGAGGAAAGCATTCGTGTGAATGCTGGTTTAGCCTTGAGAAAGGAAGACTGAGGGCTGACTTGACAAGTCTTCCAGTATGTTAAGGGTGGTTATAAATTGGACAGTGATCAATTTTTCTTCATGTTCAGTGATGGTAGAACAAGAAATGATGAGCTGAAGCTGCAGCAAGGAAGATTTAAGTTAGATTGAAGACAGTTTGTACCTCCCAGTCTGGTAACCTCTAGATCTGACCAGTCCTGAACCAGGGAATCGGCTGGACCTGGAGAGGCTACTGCTGTGGGGCTCCACTCCAGTGGCTGTAGTAGGTCCTGCATTGACTAAGTGGGGCTTGGAGGGATGATACTCGGGGCGGGGGTGGGGGGAAGAGAGGTGGGGCAGCTGTGGAGCCCTGCAACCACCAGGCTGAACTCCTGACCCATACTGCTGACCAGGGCCGCTGGCTGTGCTCTTGACCCCTGCCGGACTGCAGTCCTGGCCCCCATCATTGGCCATGACCCCCAGCCTTTGGGCACGGCTGATCTCCTGACCTCTGCCGCCAGCCTAGGCCTACATGGGGCCGCCTCCTCTCCCTTCCCCCATGCCTTCCTCCCTTTCTGAACTGGAGTGCTGTAAAAGAGCTATTTGCCGTGCTCTGGAAGCTCTTGGAGGGTGGGGAGGAGCTGCTATGGAAGATCAGCTTTTTCCCATGAGGATGCCAGACCACAGATGTTGCTGGACTGTAGAAGTTTGGACTGTAGAGGTCGAACATGTAGTAGGGGAAACTTTCTAATGATAGGAATAGGCTCCCAAGGGAGGTCAGGAAGGGTTCATCATTGGAAGCTTTTAAAAACAAATTGGAGAACACCTTTCAGGGATGCTCTATATCATTGATCTCCAACTTTTTTAACCACAAATTCATTTTTTCAGTTTAAGTGCAATGTAAGATCTACCTCAAACCCAATCTCCTTGCCCCACTTCCTTCCCGCCCCTTCTCTGAGGCCCTGGCCCTGCTCCGCCCCTTCTCTGAGACCTCACCCTGCTTACTCCATCCCCATTCCTCCACTCTTATGTGGAGAGAGGATACAAGAGTGGGGGGAGAAGGGACACTCTGATATCAGCACTCCTTCCTTTTCCCTCCCACACCTTGCACAGCAAGCAGAAGGTTCCCCGGAGAAGGGGGCAGCTCTAAGGCAGAGGGCAGGAGCAGTATGACAGTGGGTGAAGGGGCAGCTGAGTGCCAGTGCTTGATAGCTTCCTGGACAAACCAGTCAGGATCACCTGTCAGAGGCTCCCGATCTACTGGTTGGTGATTACTGCTTTAGATTTACTTGGTTCTTGCCAAAGCATGGGAGGTTGAATTAGATGACCTCACAAATGCTCCACATTTCTATGGTTCTATGTAATCAGCTGTTTAAGGTGAACAATAAATTAATAAGTAACTGTTCTAAATGTGTGTGAATTATTTTAGCTACTTAACTATCTGGTATTTGACTATTGTTAATCATCAAGCAGTGCTAACTACTACCGCGCTGCTGTGTGTTGAGATAAAGTTTATTGTGCTGAAATTGTGAAGGGGGAAAATCTTACTTTTATTAGAATATTTTATTTCTACCTGAATGAGTAATTACTGATTGACTGCATGCATATTCTTTTGAAAGAATGTATGGGATCTTATTCTGGTCCTTATAAATCTTAGGTACATTGCAAACAGCTAAGGTGGTGGTTTTTGTCAAACTGCCGAACAGTATTTATGCTGGAAAAACTTTAAAAACAATGAGTAGTCTGGCGGCACCTTAGAAACTAACACAACATGTAGATGGTATCATGAGCTTTCATGGGCACAACCCACTTCTTCAGATGACTGGAGTTAAGGGTCCAGTTTCTAAATAAATAGTGGATGGTGGTGGAAAGAAGGGAAAAGAATAGTCAATTAGTGTCCATGAAGCTGATAGAGAAGGTGCTAAGTATTCTTAAGTACCCATTGTTTGTTTGTTTTTGTTTTTGTTTTTAATATCATTAGGATGTGGAATGTTTTTGTTCATACCTCTGTTGAAAGAATGAAACTTGTAAATGAAGTTGAACTCTGAGGCCTCCCTGTGGAGCTGGCTTGTGAAATTGGCCTGAAACAATACTGTGACATTGAGATCCATTAATGAGTGCCTGGCTCTGAGCAAGTTCAAATGTTCCCCAACAGGTTTCTGTGTGCTGCCTTTTCAGATATCTGATGTGTCCATTCTTTCTTGTAGTGACTGTCCAGTATTTATGCTGCTCAGCATGTTACATTAGACTAGCAAACAACCAAAGTATAGGATGGGTTGGTTTGTTCTGAATTTGTCCTTAAAACAAGATATTTTTCCCAGGAGGGGAATAAGCCTTTGTGTACTCTGAATTATTGAGAATTTTTCCCTCTCATTCCTATTACTGATGTTCCTTCCTGAGGTCTCCAGCCTTCTGTTTCAGGAACATTTGTTCAGGAAATCACTTACACCAGTTCGAACTGTTCTGTAACTGGTCTGGGCAGTGATTTAATTTCAAATTAATGCCCCAGTACAGGCCTGACGATTGTTTGGGCGCCCAGTGAT